AAGAGCACAAAGTGGCCTACAGTTGGTTCCGGGCACTCACGATGTGGCCTGGGAATGGTGTTCTGGCAAGATGCATCGTGATTCCGGACAAGAGTTTCGCACTTTCCAACGTTATGATTTTTTGTGTCCTAGCCTGGCTAAGACGAAACGAACATGAAAGCCACGAAGTGCGATAGGGTTACAACTTTCCAACGTTATGAATGCCTTTTTGGAGCTCTGGTGCAGGACTTCCTTACAAAAGCGACGCCGTTCGTAACGTTGGCAATTCTTGAATAAGAATACTTGAAATATTCTTTATTTAAGCATTTTCTAACGTTACGAACGGCGCCGTTGTGCGGAAGTCTTGCACCAGAGCTCAAAAACGGCATTCGTAACGTGGAAAGTTGCAACCCTATCGCACTTCGTGGCTTTCATGTTCGTTTCGTCCTAGCCAGGCTAGGGCACAAAAAATCATAACGTTGGAAATTGCGAAACTGTGTCCGGAATCACGATGCATCTTGCCAGAACACCATTCCCAGGCCACATCGTGAGTGCCCGGAGCCAACTGCAGGCCACTTTGTACTCTTCGTGTTCACAGAACACCACTCCCAGGCCACATCTTGGGTGCCCGGAGCCAACTCTAAGCCATTTTGTGTTTTGCTTCGCGTTGCTTTGCATTGGTGAGACCCCTGAGACCTACGACACCTATCGGTCCTGTGGGACCTGCGAAACCTGCGAAACTTGTGGGACCTGTGAGACCTACGACACCCGAGGAGCTTACAATACCTGTGGGACCTGGGGGACCCCTGTGGCCTGTGGGACCCGTGGGACCTGCAAGACCTGTGGGACTGGTGGGACCCGCAACACATGTGGGACCTGCGGGACCAGTGGGACTTGTCGGACCTGCGACACCCGTGGGACCTGGGGGTCGTGTGGTCCGTGGAACCCTGTGGGACGCCTGGGAGCCAGCTGAAGCAACGCGTGAATGCGACAAGCATTTGAGGGTGGCAGAAGCGAAGTGTGTCGGGAAAATGCGCGAGCTTAGCGTAGTCTTGGGGCCCGTAACAGCGTAGTCTTGGGGCCCGTAACAAAATGGCAGCCGTGGATGTAAATAATTAGCGCGAAACCCATCCATAACATTGAATTCCGCCATTCAAAGATATGGAACGCAAGCTCGGCATGAACGGCCCCAGGTTGAAACAAGTGCTTCCGTGTTTCGCGTTTATTTTTTACATTTTCGCGGGCAGCTGCCGATCTTGCCCTACCTGGAACTCGCGGCCTTTGAATGGCGAAATCCAATGTTATGAATACGTTTCGCGTTAATTGTTTACATCCACGGCCTTTCAGCAACGCTAACTTAGTATCCCTTATGCGCTACTTACGTGATATTGAATAACCGACCGAATAGTAGCCAGCGTGGCCCCCGAATGCCGATGTCTTGCAATCCACGCGGTGCAATCTAGGCGGTGCAACGCATGCTATGCAACCTAGGTGGCGCGAGCCACGCGGTGCAGTTCATGCAATGCACAGCAACGCCAAACAACGCTAAGCAATGCAAAGAACGCAAAGCAAAACACAAAATGACCTACAGTTGGTTCCGGGCACCCAAGATGTGGCCTGGGAATGGTATTTTGGGAACACGAAGAGCACAAAGTGGCCTACAGTTGGCTCCGGGCACTCACGATGTGGCCTGGGAGTGGTGTTCTGGCAAGATGCATCGTGATTCCGGACAAGAGTTTCGCACTTTCCAACGTTATGATTTGTTGTGTCCTAGCCTGGCTAAGACGAAACGAACATGAAAGCCACGAAGTGCGATAGGGTTACAACTTTCCAACGTTATGAATGCCTTTTTGGAGCTCTGGTGCAGGACTTCCTCACAAAAACGACGCCGTTCGTAACGTTGAAGTTTCTTGAATAAAGAATACTTGAATATTCTTATTTAAGCATTTCTAACGTTACGAACGGCGCCGTTTTGTGCGGAAGTCTTGCACCAGAGCTCAAAAACGGCATTCGTAACGTTGGAAAGTTGCAACCCTATCGCACTTCGTGGCTTTCATGTTCGTTTCGTCCTAGCCAGGCTAGGACACAAAAAATCATAACGTTGGAAATTGCGAAACTCTTGTCCGGAATCACGATGCATCTTGCCAGAACACCATTCCCAGGCCACATCGTGAGTGCCCGGAGCCAATTCTAGGCCACTTTGTACTCTTCGTGTTCCCAGAACACCACTCCCAGGCCACATCTTGGGTGCCCGGAGCCAACTCTAAGCCATTTTGTGTTTTGCTTCGCGTTGCTTTGCGTTGGTGAGACCCCTGAGACCTACGACACCTATCGGTCCTCTGGGACTTGCGAGACCTACGAAACTTGTGGGACCTGTGAAACCTACGACACGCGAGGAGCTTACAATACCTGTGGGACCTGGGGGACCCCTGTGGCCTGTGGGACCCGTGGGACCTGCAAGACCTGTGGGACTGGTGGGACCCGCAACACATGTGGGACCTGCGGGACCAGTGGGACTTGTCGGACCTGCGACACCCGTGGGACCTGGGGGTCGTTTGTGGTCCGTGGAACCCTGTGGGACGCCTGGGGGCCAGCTGAAGCAACGCGTGAATGCGACAAACATTTGAGGGTGGCAGAAGCGAAATGTGTCGGAAAATGCGCAGCTTAGCGTAGTCTTGGGGCCCGTAACAGCGTAGTCTTGGGGCCCGTAACAAAATGGCAGCCGTGGATGTAAATAATTAGCGCGAAACCCATCCATAACATTGAATTCCGCCATTCAAAGATATGGAACGCAAGCTCGGCATGAACGGCCCCAGGTTGAAACAAGTGCTTCCGTGCTTCGCGTTTATTTTTTACATTTTCGCGGGCAGCTGCCGATCTTGCCCTACCTGGAACTCGCGGCCTTTGAATGGCGAAATCCAATGTTATGAATACGTTTCGCGTTATTGTTTACGTCCACGGCCTTTCAGCAACGCTAACTTAGTATCCCTTATGCGCTACTTACGTGATATTGAATAACCGAATAGTAGCCAGCGTGGCCCCCGAATGCCGACGTCTTGCAATCCACGCGGTGCAATCTAGGCGGTGCAACGCATGCTATGCAACCCAGGTGGCGCGAGCCACGCGGTGCAGTTCATGCAATGCACAGCAACGCCAAACAACGCTAAGCAATGCAAAGAACGCAAAGCAAAACACAAAATGACCTACAGTTGGTTCCGGGCACCCAAGATGTGGCCTGGGAGTGGTATTTTGGGAACACGAAGAGCACAAAGTGGCCTACACTTGGCTCCGGGCACTCACGATGTGGCCTGGGAGTGGTGTTATGGCAAGATGCATGGTGATTCCGGACAAGAGTTTCGCACTTTCCAACGTTATGATTTTTTGTGTCCTAGCCTGGCTAAGACGAAACGAACATGAAAGCCACGAAGTGCGATAGGGTTACAACTTTCCAACGTTATGGATGCCTTTTTGGAGCTCTGGTGCAGGACTTCCTCACAAAAACGACGCCGTTCGTAACGTTGAAGTTTCTTGAATAAAGAATACTTGAATATTCTTATTTAAGCATTTCTAACGTTACGAACGGCGCCGTTTTGTGCGGAAGTCTTGCACCAGAGCTCAAAAACGGCATTCGTAACGTTGGAAAGTTGCAACCCTATCGCACTTCGTGGCTTTCATGTTCGTTTCGTCCTAGCCAGGCTAGGACACAAAAAATCATAACGTTGGAAATTGCGAAACTCTTGTCCGGAATCACGATGCATCTTGCCAGAACACCATTCCCAGGCCACATCGTGAGTGCCCGGAGCCAATTCTAGGCCACTTTGTACTCTTCGTGTTCCCAGAACACCACTCCCAGGCCACATCTTGGGTGCCCGGAGCCAACTCTAAGCCATTTTGTGTTTTGCTTCGCGTTGCTTTGCGTTGGTGCACCCCTGAGAC